TTTTTTTTTTTAAGATTTATTTATTTTATGTACGAGTGCTCCATCTGCATGAAAACCTGCATGCCAAAAGAGGGCATTATATCAGAGCCCATTATAGACGGTTTGTGAGCCACCTGTGGTTGCTGGGAATTGAATGCAGGACCTTTCAAAGAGCAGGTGATGCTCTTAACCACTGAGTCATCTCTCCAGCCCCTAACTATTTGTGTGTGTGTGTGTGTCTATCTCAGCCAGGATATCACTTTTCCAAGAAGTCATCATTGGCTCTTTCCCCCTAAATCTGGACACTCTCCTCTGCATAAACCTGTCCTTCCCCCATGACAGAGTTATCTCGACAAAACATTACATTGACATGTCCAGTCTCAAGATAAACTGGTTCACTATCAAGTTCATGGACTGTTGGGACTCTTCTGCTTCAGCTTCCGTGGAGCTCATGGGTTCACTCAAGGCCAGCAACAGCACAAAAAGATTTATTTGTTATGTATACAGTGTTCTGCCTGCATACCAGAAGAGGTATGCAGACAAAATAGATGGTTGTGAACCACCATGTGATTGCTGGGAATTGAACTCTGGACCTTTGGAAGAGCAGCCAGGGCTCTTAACCTCTGAGCCATCACTCTAGCCCAGCACAGCAGTATTTAAATGACATGTTACCAACCTTAAAATAAGTTTAAAATGCATTCCTTAAAGAAAGGGTTTAAAATTTGTCAAACAAACTTCTTTAAAGCTTCTTTTTTTCTTACAGTACAGCCCCTGCACCTGATTCTAGCCATCGGCAGAATTGGGATTTGGAGGAAAGTGACCATGATATTAGAGCTCAAGATGGCTGAGTACAGGAAGCTAAGTCAGTGTCAGATAAATTCCCTGCTTAGACTTCAGGAAGGCAGAAATAAAAGGGGGGGGGGGAGCACACAGCAGGGTGCCCACTTTCCACATTCCCAGAGGAAGGCACTTCCTTAAGGATCTCCTCTGTTTAACTGACAAACATATACCAAGTTCCCACTGTTAGCCAGGCACTATGTTGGAAAGGAATTATAAGATGGAGGCTGCCCTCTAATCTGGGAAGAGACAGACATTTAAAGGAGCCTTCTGAGCTGGTAGGATGGTCTATACAGCACAGCTTATTCTCCACTCAGGCCAACGGCCCTGCCCTTCCTTTTGCTGAGGCCCTCCGATCTGTCCTCTTCTGTCTGCCTCACTCATTGTCAGCCTCCCTCATCCCTAGCCTCTACCCTATATCCCTGTAGCACATTCTTCACAGTACACACAGCTATGTAAAATTGTTTCTGTCTAAAGCTTACACTAAATGTCGCAGCTAAGAAGTTGTGTTTTTTGTATTCAGAGCAGTTTACCCAGTGACTAGAAGAGTGAATAAATGAATTCATCCATTAGTCCGTTCAAGTTGTTCAAGTTACTGATTTGGACCCTGGCTGATTTGGGCTCTTTGGGTGACAAAGATTCTCTTCTCATATAGTGCTAACTTTCTGTTTGAACAATGACACTGGTCTTCAGCCAGTGGTTTCTACAGATAATTGTCATGGCATTTCATCACCGAAAAATGCCGTGAGACAGGTATAACTGCAACCCATCCTACAGGTGAGGAACCCTATGGACAGGCCATGAGAGCCCAGAGCTAGTGATTCACGGCAGAGTTAACATCCACATCCAGGGAGTCAGATTCGACAGCTGACTGTCAGTCATGGCATCTTTATATGGATACAGACACAGCATGGATCCAGTAAGGATTTGTTGATGTTGACATAGGAATGTCACGACAACATGATGGAGCAGGAGGAATCAGGTCTCACAGAGAAAGTGACAAGAATGCCAACGGAGGGTGAGGTTGTGTGAGGTTTCTCTTGTGTGTCTCTTTCTCTCTGTGTGTCCGTGTGTGTGTGTGTGTGTGTGTGTATGTCTGTGTGTGTGTCTGTGTATAGCATGTAGGCAGGAGACATTCCTGGTAGAAGGCACAGCATTTCCAAAGGCACGCAGGACAGCAGCCATATATTGTGGCAGGAGCAGAAGGAGACTGGAGGGGAGAGGCCAGGTGGGGATTACACTGTGAAGACCCTCCTCTTGCCTGAGTGGCAGTTCAGACTTGGCCATGGAAGTACTAAGAGAGACCCTGAGTAGTGGCATTCTGGGCCCACAAGTGGAAATTCTGAAGGGAGAGAAGAAAAATGGTACCTAGATAACCAGAGTAACAAAGTGGGTGCCAAGGAACTCAGAGTTAAAAGTACTGTAAACAAATGGTCTGAGAACTGGGAGAGAGGAGCAGCACCAACTTTATGACAGGCCTTATCATCTCCGTCTCAATTCTTTTTATTAAACGGATTTGTCAAGCCTTCCCCCTTCCAGTTAGCCAGGCACCCGAGTGAATTCTGCTGGCACTCAGTCCACAGTGACAGCTCCAAGAGTTGAGATTATTATCTCATCATCTTTCTAACAGATTTTGAAGCAGATGGCTTTGCCTTCAACTCCAGAAATACAGAACCAAGTAGGACAAGCTCTCTCTAGGAGGCATTAAATGGTAATTTCAGTGAAGAGCAACACCAGGAGGTGCTCCAGGGATCCAGGAAAAGTGCTCCTCAATTTGTCACTCAGACACATACCTTCTAAGTTGTCAAGACCAGATTTGCTCTGTGCATCCCCAGCTGTACGCAGCTGAAGCTGGCTAGCTGCTCGACAAATATTATGTTTACTGAAATCGAAAGAACAGAATGCAGATGGCCTATTTCACCGGGGCTGAGTTCTGCAAAAAAAGCACCCTCTCCTCCTCCATGCAAACACAATGTAAGTTTCTTTTGAGGGAAGAAGTGGCTAGAAGAAGTGAGGAAATGCATTTTTATTCTCTGCAAAGACTCAGTACTAAATGGAGTATAAGTACATGGTGCTCTGTCCATCTGCCTTCTGTCATTGTCAAACTACACCCAGGACCCAAAACAAGCACAAAGAAGACCTGGTTTCCCGCACCACTCATTCTTCTCTGCTGTGGAAAGGTATCCTGGCGGCTCTCTGTCCTCTCCTGCTCTCTCGGGCTCCTTCCTACCCCACTACTCAGGGTAGTGTTTGTCAGCGTGGCGCCGAGAGAAGAAAATTTGCTTTATGTCAAGTTTCCAGTTTTCGATACTATTTCTCACCATCTTCCCAAGCATAAAGACAAAGCCAGGCTGTAGCCTTAAAGGAGTCTGCAGCCTGGAGAGGGACTGAGGAGTTGGGCACCATTGGCAATGAGGAAGCCTAGATCTGCTCAGTTATCATATTTCCTCATCAGACTGTGTGAGTGTTGAGAGTAAGAAGTAGCAAGGGAGAAAAGGATACCCCCCTCAAAAAAAAAGACAGGAAAATAGAGGGGGACAACTTGGGAGGAGGAAATAGAGTGGGGAGGAAAGGAGAGGGTAAAGACGGGGCTAAATAGAATAAAAGCACATTTATAAAATGTATACAGTGTCATAACAAAAGCCATCATTTTGGATAATTAAAATACACTAACAAAATAACAAACTAAACTGGTCACAAGAGGAGGAAACAACACCACTAGGAAAGCTGCCAGGCACATGGGCCTTGATAGGGCAAAGGGGCCTGGACTCCGAGACTGTGGGAAAGACGTTTCCCCTTGGGATGTTTGTAAGAAAGTCCCAAGATCTGGAAGGAATTCTTAATGTGCGTTTCCCTTCATGATGTGACTGTCATGCAAGAGCCAAACGGAAAAATGACTGTTTCTGTTGGAAACAGGGATGCGTGGGCTGTGACTTGATACATCTGAGGCGATAATGCCCTAAGTGGGTAACTGTGAGTTACACCATCTAAGGTTTTCAGTATCGAACTTTGAAGCCAATGGCACACAGCCTACTTGCACATGGATTTCTGGGAAACGCTGTAAAGACTGCTACTTGGAAAGTCTGGAGAAAGTCTGAGCTGTGTTCAAGAAGCAACAGCTGAGTTTCCTCCCCTCCCCTTCTACCTTGGCCGGGGCCGGGACAGCAGCTGCCAGCCCTGGGCTCTAACTTTCCCTCAAACGACTGCTCATGGAAAATGTTATTTCAGGCGCTAGAGTTAAAGTTTCTGATTTTTTTTTGTCCCAACCTCAGACTTTATTTTTTCCTACTTCATTTGTGCAAGTTTGGATTAGTACAGAACACAATAGACAAACATAATGTCAAAGGCATTCCCGCTGAACCTTGAATCCTGTGGACAAATTACGGAAAAAAAACAAAAAACAAAAAACCAAGGCCCCAAAAGAGAAACACGGTCAGGGAGGCCACCACATCACAGCATTTGCGTTTTTCTTTTTCTTTCTTTTCTTTTTTTTATCCCCAAGTATAATGGTCTAGCTAGATCACTGTTTGAAATTGGAAACTCCAGTACATGAATATTAACATGAACTCCAACTTTAAAAATTCTTATTATCTAGTTATTAAATCCACTTTCTGAAAGTCTTTACTTCGTATTTCTCCGCTACCCCGGTCTACCCACCTCTCTGTACACACCCAAGCAAAGAACGAAGTGAAAAGGTTTTGCAAGAGCTGGGCGGCTTTTGGGAATTGCCCCGCCACGCAAGAGACGGGTGAACTGTGGGGACGGAGGAGCCCGAGGTCTCGGAAAAATCTTTTCTATATTTACCCCGGCTCCTGCCATTTCTCACTTTCTTGGCGCACACAGGGAACTCCAAATAAAACCATCCAAAAGACGGCCGGGGAGGCGGTTCCCCCGGCTCGGGACCCCACCCCGCGGCCTCCAACTCCTCCCTCCCGCGGGGATGCTCTGCAGCGGGGGCGGGAGGGAGCGGGCGGGGAGCGCGCCGGTGCCCACCTTGCTCGCAGGTGCCCTTGCTGACCTGGGTGATGGCCTTCTCCCCGCGGCTCTCGGCGCGCAGGCTGGCGGCGCGCAGCTGGCAGCCGCTGGGGTAGGTGGTGCCGTCGCTGCCGCACACCGGGTAGCGGCTCTTGCACACGCACACGGCGAGGGTCGCGGGCCCGCCGGCTGCTGCCCCGGCTTTACCCTTCCGCCTCTTGCGGCTCTTCACGCACTCCATGCCCGGCGCGCAGTGCCCCCTGCCGGCCGCGCCGCCCCCGCACGGCTCCCCCTCGCCGCGAGCGCACACCGGGCAGCAGCCGCACGCGTCCCGGGTCTCACCCAGCGGGCAGCCCAGCGGGGGCAGCGCGGGGCAGGAGGCCGGCACGCACGGGCCGCAGGCATCCGAAGAGGAGGAAGAGGAGAGGGGCAGGAGCAGGAGCAGCAGGCCGGCCGCGCCGAGCAGCAGGGCGCGCTGCGGCCGCTCCATGGCGGGGTGGCTGGGCGCGCGAGTGAGCGGCCGGGGCCCCCGGGGCCGCCCCTTAAAGCGGCCGCCCCGCCCGGCGCTCCGCGGGGGCCCTCCCCGGGGCGGGGAGTCTGCCCGTTGCCCGCCCCGTTCCGCTCGCCCGCTTGCCCGCGCTCCTGCCGCCCTCCTCCGTGGGCAGCTCCACTGCCCTGGCGGGCCGGGCTCCCGCACGCTACGCTGGCCCGACTGGCGCCCGCTCAGCCCCCTGCCCACGTCCGTACCATCCATCACTAGAGGGAATGAGCCTCCGGCATCTCCTCTTCCTTGTTTTCCACCCTGATCCAGCTGTTTTTACTTTTTAACAAACGGGATTTTATGAGAACGCGCTGTTTAAATCCATTAAATTCTCGGGGGCCTGAGAAACCCGAGTGCTTTGTGGTTACTGTTTTAAGGATGAACCACGAACGGAGTGTTTTTTTTTTTTTTTTTTTTGTTCTCTTTGGCTACAGGGTCAGTGTGCCTTTGGATGGCATGTTTCCCTTTTTGGATCCTCATAATCTTGCTTCTCTCTCATATTGCACAAGCTACCTCATGCTGAAGGAAGTTTAAAACTCCTCAAAAATTTTTTTTTGTTTATAGAATTATTTTTACCTTATGTGGACGGATGTGTTGGCTGCATGTATGTGTACTTCATGTGTGTGTACCTGGTGCCTTTGGGGACTAGAAGACCTTATACCCTATTATTGGAGTTACAGACAGTTGCAAGCCGCCCTTTGGGTGCTGGTACTCGAACTCAGGTCTTGGAGTGAAGCTGGTACTCTCTTAACTGCCGGGCCAGCTCTCCAGTCTATTAAAAATTTAAAAAGCATTTTTAAAAATTTTGTGTTTGTAAGTGTGTATGTTTGTGGGCCCACATGCCACACGTATGGAGGTGGGGCAGCTGATTTTCTCTGTCCACTATAGGGGACTGAACTCCAGTCAGGCTGGTTCTCGAACTGCTGGCCTGTGTTATTATTTAAAACACACAGAGAAGACCCTTTAGAGGAAAAGCCACTATTCAGCCTGCAGGAACAATGGTCTTGTGTCACTGGAACTGTCATCTTTCTTTAGAATATTTGGGGCTTCAGTGCCCACACTAACAGCAGGGGTCAGGGGTCAGGGTCTCTGGTCCCAGAAGGCAGAGCCGGCTAGAACCCACAGAAATGTTAGCCATAGGGACTATATTAAAACTCTTTTCCACCCAGAAAAGGGGCGACTGACTTTGGCTCCTCTTTAGCATATTCTAGAAAAATGGCATGTTAAAATATTGACAGAACAGTTAAAAAACCAATACACATTTTTTTAATTTCAATATTTATTTATTCATTTTACATCTCCACTATAGCCCCTCCCTCCTTTCCTCCCGGACCCACCCTCCAACCCTAATTCCCCTATCCCCCCACTCCTCAGAGAAGGAGTGCCCTCACTCTTCACCCACCTTAGCATATCAAGTCGCATCAAGACTGAGCACAACCTCTTCCTCTGTGTCCTGGCAAGGTAGCCCCGCCAGGGGAAAGTGATCAAAAATGAGGAAACATCGTCCATGTCAGAGTCAGCCCCCATTCCCCTTACTAGGGAACCCATATTAGGACTGAGCTGCCCAATGGCTACATCTGTGTAGAGGGCTTAGGGTCCAGTCCATGGTCTTTGGTTGCTACTTCAGTCTTCACAGCCCACCCCTGGGCCCTGGTTAGTTGGCTCTGTTGGTCTTCTTGTGGAGCTCCTGTCCCCTATGGGTTCGTCTATCTTCCCTGCCCCCACTCTTCCACAAGATTCCCTGAGCTCCACCCAATGATTGGTTGAGGGTCTCTGCATCTGTTTCCATCAGCTGCTGGGTAGAGCCACCTTGACAGCTATGCCAGGCTCCCGTCTGCAAGCACAGCAGAGTATCGTTAATCATGTCAGGGGTTGGCCGTATCCCAGGGGGTGAGTCTCACGTTGGGCCAGTCATTGGTCTGGTGGCTTTGGAAAGCCAGGAATGAGAGTCTATTTCTTTTCCTCCATTTTCTCTCCTTCCTTTCTCTTATTTTGCTCTGTTCTCTCAAGGCTGGTCCTGAGAAGGACTGGGAAAGAGCAGGAAGTGCCTTTCTCTTAGTATGGCTACTTACATCAGCCCTTTCATCATCACTGCTGATTTTACAGTCATGCTGAGTACCCATGGATAATTGGTACAAGGCAGGTCTCCAAAGATTAGCTCTCCCAGATGTTCGTTCCTTGAAGGGACTTGTGGTGTCTCTTCACAGCCCAGCTCGCTGGCACGAGAAAGGACAAAAGCAGCTGATGTGCGGGAGCTGAGCCAATCTCACAGCTGGGCCACAGTGTTTTCACAAGTTGACCTGACATCAGCAGCCAGGCCTCAGTGTTATTAGAAGCCCAGCTGATGCTTGCAGCCGAGCCGTACTGTTGTTCTGCGGGGCATAAACAATCCCACCGATCATGCTCTTTAGACAAGGTCATCATGTCACCCAGAAATACCAAGCGGAGCCTCCACCCCTGTGCAAGGCCGCTTTGCAAATTACAGCTCCGTCTTGCTGCCACCTGCCTTCCCTCCAGACAGAATGTATTCCCCCTCTCTTCCTAAGGGAGACTTCCCAAGTGGATGCTTGGAAGCATAGATGGTAGCAAACTATATGTCATATGTAAAATCTAGTTTTTAAATAAGTCACATATTAGGAACAGTGACAACTAAAATAGAATAATTAGAGCAACATATTGCAATGAACTTTAAAATATACGACTTGTTTACTTATGGAATTTTCCGTTTAGCATTTTCAGGCCTGATTGGTTGTGAGTAACCAAAATGGGGAGAGCAGAACTTCCGCTGAGGAGAGATGACTGTGCTCATGGAACTGTCCTGCTTCCTGACGGCATCAACCCACAGCCAGTTCCGGCCTCCTTTCACTCAGCTGAAGCGCAAGCTCTTTCACAGGTGCTTCCATCACTCTTTGAGAGAAACTCACTGTTCAACGTGATGTCCACCCTCTTGTGGTAAGTAATAGACTTAACTTACTGATCTGTAAGTGCTTCCCTTTTAATCATTAACTGGAGGGCAATAACACATGGATGATTTGCCATTTAGTTTCTCCTTCTTCTTCTTCTTCTTCTTCTTCTTCTTCTTCTTCTTCTTCTTCT